TAAAATGTGACATTTGTGGATGAGTCAGGATGGTTAATTAAGGTTTACATAAATTTCTTGTTTTTTTTTTTAGCTGCTGCTTTTTGCAGGAATAGAGAAGAGTATTTTTTTTTTTTTTGCTACACTGTAAAAAAATATTTTCAAGATTTGTTAACACAACATATTTTCTTTTGTCAAATCAACTTTATAATAATTTATTTAGTTGAGATAACTTATTATTTTGAGTTTCTGATGATTAAATTAATCTCCTTCATTGTATTAACTCACTTTTTCCAGTTCAATCAACTTAAAATTTTTAGGCAACCCAGGTTACTTACTTTAAGTTAAACCAACAATTTTTTTTTACAGTGTAGTAATCACAACATTTTTTCTTTTGTCAAATCAACTTAAATAATTTATTTAGTTCAGATAACATATAATTTTGAGCTTCTGATGATTCAATTAATCTCCTTCATTGTATTAACTTAAAGATTTTAAGGCAACCAGGTTACTTACTTTTTTAAGTTAAACCAACAATATTTTTTTTACAGTGTAGCTAACCCCTTTAAAATATTATTAAACATTTTAATCATTTAACAATGTTACTCTGATGTTCTATAATGCAAGTAAATGTTAAAATGTGTTAAAATGACTTGATTTTACATTTTAATCATTTAATTCATTATTAGCTTTTCATCAACCCCTTGCAGTTCCCTTATGAATCCCATTTTGGGAAACCTTGCTTTAAGGGATAGTGAAAATTCTGTCATTTACTCACCCTCGAGTTGTACCAAACCTGTATGAATTTTCTTTCTTCTGCTGAACACAAAAGAAGATATTTTGAAGAATATGGGTTACCAAACAGTCGATTGGCCCCATTGACTTCCATAGTATTTTTAGTTTTTACTTGAAACATAATCTTATCCCATTGGTTGAGCCTGAGTATCAAGCATGACCTCATTTTTGTCCTCCTTCTTCTCGTTGTGGCTTCAGGCAAAGTGATTCATTCCATGGTGGCTCACCTGGATGCTGTAACCTGTCTTACCACAGACCCTAAAGGCACTTACCTCATCTCCGGCAGTAAGTAAACGTACACGAGCACGCAGTGTGTGACGTCAGAGAACAAAACAACAAGCCAATGGATGTGTTTGAAGCCTTCCAAACACATCCACGTCAACAGATCGTTCTCACGGAAATGTGAAAGTTGCCAACATAGTGTCATCTCTGCAATCTTTATCTTGTGTTTTTATGTTTCCCTCAGGTCATGACTGCTCAGTGCGCTTGTGGATGCTGGACAATCGCACGTGTGTGCAGGAGATCACAGCACACAGGAAAAAACACGATGAGGCCATTCATGACGTGGCCTTCCACCCGTCGCAGCCCTTCATCGCCAGCGCTGGGGCCGACGCGCTCGCCAAGATCTTCGTTTGATTTTCTCATTGGTAAATTCACATTATAAGCTTTAGGAGTTCTGTATGCAATTTGGCCAGTATATGCAAAAATCTATATTATGATATATTTTCAGACATTTTATCTGATATACACAGGGCTTCCCATTAAAGCTACACTGTGTAACTCTTTTAGTTTATTCTTAGCTAAAAACACTTAGTTCTTTCAAAGATATATGTGCTCATTAAGGTATATTTACTTCATTCAAGTGTCTTCATTCTAATGTCGGTCGCCATGTTGCCCCTCCATCTTGAAAGTGCATTAGCCAAAGAGGGACATACCCGTTAATTCAAGCTTCGCATTTACGTTTGAGTTAACACTCATGGACGAGGTCGAACTGGAAGCCATGTTAATCTTGGACTACATTGGCCACCGTAGGAGTTAAAACGAAATCGGAATTGAGAGGAACAGAAACTAATATTAACTGGATGGTCATATACCTTTTCACCACTAGATGGGGATAAAAATCACACAGTGTGGCTTTAACTTTTTTTTTTTCGCCAACCACTGTGGCTTGTGGTTTTCTCTCAGCATTTTCTCTGGCTACAATTTTGACATCAATACTATGGGGAAAGACTGCCATATAGATATTTTTAATATTATCTCATAATTTGGCAGCAGGTATATTAGGCTGCTGTGACTTTAAAAGGACACTCCACCCATTTGCATTAAGCTTTCCATTGTTAGAAACCCAGTTATACTATTGAATGGTCGTGTAACACTCTCATTTTCCCCTGAGACGAGAGAAATCCGCTATTTACCTTTTTCACTTCCTCCTACAATGACGCCAAAATCGGCATGGATGGCGACTGTAGAACGCAAAAGACGAATCCAGGACATTTTGGGCGATCTTGAAACACATTTTCGGGCAGACTCGTCATGGAGACTCACTAGTACTGTTACCGGTAGGCGTGGCCTCCTAGGGCAGCGAAGCAAGTGCATTCTGGGAGTTGTTGTCTTTCATCCACATAAGACAAAAATAATTTTTTTTGTCTTTTCTCAGTCTAGAAAGCTCCAAATTCAAAAATTAATTTGACATTTCTTCTACATAAATTACCCATTTTAAATACACATTCATCTTTCCAGAGGTGAAGTGACCCTTTAAGACCTGACGCACGGATCCATTAAACCGTTAAGCATGATTTTATTTTCTCAACTGTTGACATTTACCTAAAACATAACTGAGTCTACGGTCACCAAGACTGGCATTTTGTCATTATTTTGTGTGTATTTGACTGTTTAAGTGCAATAAGCAGCGAAAAATAACTCAATTTAGTACTGAGAGGTGGCTTTGTGTGCGTGCACTTTTCAGCACACACTGCAGGAATGAGTTAAATTATGCGTAATACACACAACCCCACTCTGAAATTCAACCCCTGTAACATCAACAATATTACTCCAAATGTTTTTATTGGTTTTAAATGACAATACAAAATAACACATCATAAATGGTAGACAGTAAAATATTATCCCTTACATGATCTCCCTACTCAATCCAATAGCGAAAAATAAATAAATAAATAAATAGAATAAAAATAAATAAGTAAAATAAAAATATAACAAAAATATTATAATAATAAAAAATGTAATTAAAATAATATGAATTGAAAAATATTACATGTGTAATATAAAAATTACATTCTCCCTACAAAGATCCTTCTGATAAGTGAAAATTATGCACCAACGCCAGTTACAGGTGCACAGGGTAAACCCTTAATGTAATTTAAAAAGGGATCCCTTGTCTTAAAAAGCGATCCCAGGTCTTGTAAAAGGATGTAAATGAACCAGAACATCAACAATATTAATCTGGAGCAAATGAAACGAGGGAGTGAGTGAGCCGGGGTTGTGTGTCTACTTGATGTTGGAGAGATGAGAGAGCGTAGCTGGTATTGTGTCTGTTCTGTGGGAAATGAGTATGGGTAGCGTTTCAGATATTTCAGTATGTACAGGGTTCCCACGGGTCCTTGAAATCCTTGAACGTTTATGAATCTGATTTTTTTTTTTCAAGGCCCTGGAAAGTTTTTGAAAATAAACATACATAGATACAGGTCCTTGAAAGTGCTTGAATTTATTTTGTGCAAGAAATTTTCTGGAAAAAAAATCCGTATTATGCCCTCCGCTCCATTAATGTGTTATTTTGCCAACACTTCGTAGCTTATGCATAGCAGCTTGCTTGATTTATGTTTGTTAGTACGTGCATTTATGCTTTACGTTAAGTGTTCTTTTTGTACGTTACCATGACGTTCACTCAAGCAAGACTAACAATGTATCCTACAAGGTAACACAATGTAACCTTACTCTCACTTCAAATGTGTCCCCACTTTAATTCAATGAATTTAAGGGTATTGGAACTGGAAAGTCTTTGAAAGGTCCTTGAATTTGAAGTTAACCAAGGTGTGGGAATCCTGTATGTATCTCAAAATCTATATTTGAAAAGACTACAATTGAAAAAAAAAAAAAAATATATATATATATATATATATATATGAAGAGTTCAGATGCAAAAGCCTCTAAGTGCCATTTGAAATTTTCGTCTAGAATGATCATTTTTATCAAGCTTGTATATTTAAGTTCAGTAATTTCACTTAAATGGCAATGATAATTACCTATTAATTGTTATTTAAGTGAAATTACTGAACTTAAATATACAAGTTTGATAAAAATCATCATTAAAGAAGAAAATTTCAAATGGTATTTAGAGGCTTTTGCATCTGAACTTTTTTTCATATATATATATATATATATATATATATATATATTATATATTTCCCCATAGTATCAATGTTAAATTGTGGCCAGTGAAAATGCTGAGTGTCTAGTAACTTCGGAAAAAGCATTAGCCACAGTGTCTGAGAAAAATAAGTACATTTCCTAATTCCGTTTTTTATGTTTGTCGTTAACTTATCAAAATGGCTAAAAATCATTTGTAGCACTTTGTTACTTGTGTTCCATGAGCTCATGTTTGCTTTATCTCTTTTCAGGGGAACCACCCTCACTACTGGGCCAAAAGAGTGAAACGCCGAATATCCGCACACACGCACTCACACACTCACTCAAACCGTGGGG